AGTAATTATATATTTATAAAAAAAATAATTTCTATCTGTTTTAAAAAAATAAAAAACATTTGCTTAGATTTTTTTTTATTTTTTTTTAAGTTTGAGTGAACGGACTCATTAAGATATAAAAATGACAAAAAAAATTATAAAAACAAAATTAGATAAAATTACATTGATATAAATTTAAAATTTATATAAATCTCATATAATGTATTGACATAAAAGTTTGAATTTATAATCTTGTGTATACTATTCTCAACTCTCACCATCAAATATTTATTATATATACTTAAAATTTATAATAAATTATATATAAAAAATTATTATATTTGAATATATAAATTATATTTAATATTTGTATAAATATATTTCTACATATATTTTTTTAATTTATATTTATAATAAAAAATTATATTGAAACACGATTATTTTAAATTATTGATAATTTTTTAAAATATTAAAATTTGATTCATAAAATAAACATGATAAATAAGAGTTTGATTAGATAAATAGTTAAAAAAATTAAAAACTTTCTTGAAATAGATAAAAAAATTCTATATAAAAAAAAGTCTATTTGACTCAAAGGATGGGAGAGGTGAAATTTTAATAGAGGGAAGGAGGGGGATTAGAAATTCTATTTTGTTGAGAAGAGGAAAAATTAAGGATTTTAATGGAGTGAAAAAGTGATAATTTTTATTTTTATTTTTGATTCACGAAGATAAAGGGATTTTAAAAATAATTTTACCTTGTATTCTTGTAATTCTAAATTTTAAAAAGCAAATAAGAATAATTTAAATCAAACAATAAAATTTAATAAAAACCTCTCCTCTTCTCCTTCTTCCCCTCCAACCAAGCATTGTATAAATGATAAGTAGATGAATGAATGAAATACTATCATATATCATATTTATTTGTATTAAATTTAATATGATGTAATGTATATATTAATTATGTGTGTTAAAGATATTTTATATTATTTTAGAAAAAATATATATTAATTTTTAAACATATTTAAACATTGATAAGATTTATTTGAATAAGCTTCTTCTTAAGATCCTATCTATTAGTTCATAATTTTTTTAATTTATATGTAAATTAATTTTAATTTATAAAAAAACTAATTTCAATTTTTCTTCATATTATTTTCTCATAAGTGGTTATGAAGAAATTTATTTAAACAAATCTCAAGTGTGGCTATTTTTTCTTGTTTTGTAACATAAATTTAAATAAGACATAAATTTAAATTTTTATTTGACTTATTTAAAACATAAAACTTGTTTCATTATATTCACTTATATGGAAATTATGAAATTCAATTGATTCAAAGTTAAAAAAATTATAAACATAATATAAATCACATAAAAAAAAATATATCACATAAATAATTATAAAATAATGTGAAATTATCTATTTTTTTATAATGTTTTTTGGTTGTTCTTTGGACTCATTTTCACCATGTATAAGACTCATTTTCATTCAAACATCAATTGTTATCAATAACTTTCTTATAAGTAAATATAATAAAATATTTTTTAGGTTTTAAATCAGTAAAAAAATAACTCAAAATTATATCTCAAAATTAAAAATAATAGTTATTTCAAAATATTTAAATCAACTCAAATTAAAAAGATAAAGGAATAAAATACACATTTTTAAAATAAAATACCAGATTAAATCTTAAAAATAAAATAAAGAACTAAAACTACGATATACCTTATAAAATAATTATTTATCTTTTATAATATCAAAATACTGGTATGAAAATAATTTCAAATATATTGAATTCGAAACATTGAAATTTAATCTGATTTGCAAAATAAATATCTTGTTTGATTTTGAAATTTATAGATTTTTTTAATCTTACATATTCTATTGGATGTATATTATTTACTAAAAACTAATCTTAAGTATAATTTTAGAATTTATTTGAATAACTTTTAATATAAAATATTTACATTATTAGCTAATTAGATATTTTTAATTTAAATTTTATAATGATTGATATAAAAAATTTAGATTTAATTATATTTTGGACCGTTTAAGTATTATAATTATGTATTTTAATTAAATTGAATAATTTTAGCACCTCAAATATTATAATTATGTAATTTTGATCTCTAATTTTTAGTTAAATAATTTTACTTTCTCAAATATTACAATTGTATGATTTTAGTACCTCATTAAAAATTTAATAATTTTTGAATTATATGATATAATATCTTTAAATTATATAATATAATATTTTAAAATTATATATCCGGGATGACCCTTATAATGTCAACCCGGGCTAAGAGCCCGGGTGCGAAATGCGGTCAGTACATTACTAAATAAATAAAAATTATATATATTATTAGTATTTTAATATTATTGATAAATTAATGTTAATAATATTATTAATATATTTATAGATAAATTAATAATTTCATAAATATAAATTAATGTACAGTAGTATACTTTTACAAAATATATTAGATAAAAGTAAATATATTTTATTAGAATAAAGTTAATTAGAAGTATCACTTGATAATAGTGTATTAATAAAAATTATTAAATTTTTAATGAGAAAAACTAAAATTATATAATTATAATGAATTAAAATTGATTTATAAAAAACTCATGAACTAAAATCTTGTAATACTAAAAAAATTAAAATTATTTAATTAAATTTGAGAGACCAAGTTGTATAATTATAAATAAAAAAAAATACATTTAAGTTAAAATTTTCCGTGCTTTGCCAGAATCACCATGGCCTTGAGGTGCAACACTTGAACTTAAAGTTTTGGATCTGTTAGTGGTGCTTTTAGAATAGAAGATTGAGAAGTGCGAAATAACAAAATAGTGTATCACATTGCGTATTATTCAGAACAAGAATAACCTCTTCAAATAAATGCAATTTGCACTTCTGCAAATATTGAAAGAAATTGTAAAATTATTTATCTATCTTATTGCAAAGTTTTTTTTTTACATCGATTATTTGTTAAATCAATATGAAATAAAAATTACATCAGTTATATTAATAACTAATCAATTATCCTGAAATCAAGAATACGATTTATAATTTTATTAAAAATCTTTAAAGAAGTTAGTTATTAGTTTTAATCATGTATAAAATTGTATTTTTTTGTAATCTAAACTTTTACTTTAAAAACAATATTAATAACTAATGTAATGAAGTAATTTTGCATTAATTATTTAATAATTATTGCAGAAAATTTTAAAAATTATATTTATATCACCATTTTTTTTACGTTGATTATTAACTAATGATGTTAACTCGACGTAAACTTTCTTTTTTGTTAGTAGTGTTCCGTTGCAACAGAGGCTTTGTTGTTACTATCTAAACTAGAAGCATGATTGAAAAAGTTTAATTACGAATATATATATTAGTAAAAAGAAGATTAAACTATATCAATTTTAAAACAAAATTATTCCGGTGTTGGAGACCGCCGCCGAAGAATCCTTAGCAATACCGTGCTAAAAGAACTTAACAGTAGTCTTAATCTAGAACATTTGATGAGAGTAACCTGTCTTTTTAGACCTAATCATTGTTATATATAATGATGTAGCATTACAGACATGAATCCCACATTTCTCTTTATGATCCCATAAATAATGCCTTATTATAAACTCGTAACTCTCGGTGTTTATAACTGTTATCTTGCTCATCCCACGGATCGTGAGATCTTATTGATTATTTGAGCGAGCAAGCAAATCTTCCCATATCTAGGTCTATATAATTTCAGGCCTTGCAATACACAACATTTCTCATTTATCCAAGAGACATTTTGGTCGGTGAGCTCAACATTTTGCCGATGTGACTCGGATCGGCCAATGGGAGACCGCCTCAGTACAAAGCCCTCTCAGCTTGAGCACGGTAGAACGATATATCAAGTCGGCGTATTATTGATGTGCTTTTGATTGGCCAATGGATGACCATCACCTTACAAAAATAAAATGTTTAGATTTATTAACAAAATGTTTAGATTTGTTAACAAGTACAGAAATACAATATACATGAAAGGAAAGTTTCCATTATATTAAAATTATTATTATATAATACTATATGTTTTGCAAAGATGTGAAAGCAAAATCTAAACTTTTAAACTTTTGAACATATTTGGGAGATAATAATAAGCATAATGTTATCCAAGGCAATTATTCTAGTTATTTCAGCTCAAACCATTTGATGAGCAAATAATTTAAGGCCCATGACTCAGAAAGCCCAAAAGTTTCTAGACTCCTCTCATTGCAAGTGTTTGGATTCTTTAACTGGACTACTTTTCAAATACGTCAATCTAGTATTTACATTTTACAAAGAACCGTCGTCATCTATACACTAAATAAAGAGAATATTCTATGCACACAATTTTTAACTATTTTATTTTTTTATAATTTTAAAATTATATTTATTTACTTTTTATAATAAAAATTGGCTCCTATTGAATCTTAATTATTATTTTTTCAATATCTTTAAAATAAAAATGAGTGTTTTATTATATATTTATTTATATTGGGTGAAAAGTGAAAAGCCGTACTTTGGGTCTGAATTCTGAGCCTCATTTGCGGGCACATTAAAGTTAATGATGTGACGGCAACCACTTTACCTGAACCTAGCCAATGTAGGACCCACCTAGCTCATTGCCTTTGTCTTTCACTCTCCGAAGATAACTATGAAAAAGTTGGTCATTTAATTATGAGTTCAAAATTTCTTGCAACCCCAATAATTATACTCAAACACTTGAACCATGTTTGGTTGGTTAGAAATACAAACACAATAGCTTCCGACTGACGTAAAAAATAAAATGTAATGAGAGCAGTATTGTATTTGGCATAAATTAAAATTGAAAAGAAAACATGAGGTGGGGGTCTCTGACCGTATAATGACGTGGCGACATATTATTGGTTGATGCTTGGCGTGGTTGGTGAGTGGCCCCAGCATTGGTTAGAGGATGCGGCGCATAAATAATCAACGTACTTATGTATGGTATTGCTATTGGAGTATAATGAAATTAAATTATGTTTGTTACCATATACATATGATATGACGTTAATTATATATTACAATACGTAGGTATGTTATAGGCACTAGGCAGGTTATAAATAGTAGTAAGTTATGAGTTATGAGTTATGAGTTATGAGGTATGAATTATTTTTGCATAGCAGAGACAGAGATGTTGTCGTTGAAAGTGAAGCAGTCCACGATGGTGCGGCCGGCGGAGGAGACGCCGCGGAGGGCGTTGTGGAACTCCAACGTGGATTTGGTGGTGCCCAATTTCCACACGCCAAGCGTTTATTTCTATAGGCCAAACGGAGCCTCCAATTTCTTCGACGCCAATCTTATGAAGGAGGCTCTCAGCAAGGCACTCGTTCCTTTCTATCCAATGGCCGCACGCCTCCGCCGCGACGACGACGGCCGCATCGAGATTTACTGCGACGCTCAGGGCGTGCTCTTCCTCGAGGCTCACACCACCGCCGCCATCGACGACTTCGCCCACTTCGCCCCCACTCTTCAGCTCCGCCAGCTTATCCCCGCCGTTGATTATTCCGCTGGGATCCAAACGTACCCGCTCTTGCTGCTTCAGGTCCCTTTTCTTTTCACGTACTTTTTTTTTTTATTACCATTATTTCCTCATAACTTATTGCCTTTTCTCTATAATTACCTAACTTTAGTTTTTTAAATGCAACACAATTTAACATTAGTGTTTTAGGATAAAATATGAAATATTACTGCGTAACACGATGAAATGAAAATCGGATAAAAATTATAATTAGGTGGTTAAGGATGGAATAATAATAATAATAAAAGCGTTTAAGAGACGACGGTTAAGTTAGTATATGGAGTTATGCTTCTCCCATCTAGCCTCATTTGCGCATCCTACGCGGTTCACGCTTTCATTGTGTAGTTGGGGAGGCTAGGGCACAATTTGTTTCACTCTTCAAAAACCAATTTATTACTGTAATTAGACGAGAAATTCTACGGTACCCATTATAATTGTGGAGTATCGGAACAATTATTTTATTTTTTTTTATTTTTATTTTTTTTATTTTTATTTTTTTATAATTACTTGTTTTATATGTTTTAGTTTTTCTTTGATGATAACTTTTTTAAATTTATAGTATAAATTAATTTTTCAGTTATATTATTTATTTTTTTTATTTTAATGTTTTTATAATATTATTATATTTTTTTTTTAATTTTTTAATTTGGTCAGATATAAATAAAATTTGTTATGAAAATTGATCTTTTCATTATTTTATTTTAAATTAGTCTTTTTGATTGATTTATTTTATACAAATTTTTAATCTAAAATTTATATTGTTTTGAATTTATTTTTTAAAATTTATTTGTTCACATAATGTGATGTATCAAAACCCTCCATTTTCATGGGTACCGTAGCAATTCCCATCCACGTATTGTTTTTTGTGTTTGTTAAAAGCAATGACACCCTCATAATTGATGAGTAAAAAGATTCTCTCAATTTCTTTTTCTCTCCTTTTCTTTCATTGGAAAATTTTAAAAGTATAAATGTCATACTTTCTAAAATATACATCAATTTTATCAATTTTATTTTATTAATTTTAAAAAAATTAAAAATGGAAGAAATGGAGAAAAAGAAAATGGAAAGAATCCATTTTCATAATTGATATGTTAACTATATATCATACCTCGTATGAATATTTTTAGATCCAAAGTATTTTTAAAAAATAAAACTATTTCTCAAATAAAATAAACTTTTAAATAAAAATTAAAGAAACGATTTAAATTATATAGATATTTAATTACTTAAAATAATTAAATTTAGTATTTAAAGTATTTTTTAATTACAGTATTCTTAGTAAAAAAAACTTGAAAAATTAATCACTCCTAATAAATACATATTATAAGAGTAATTATTATTAAAAAGCTCATAAATCTACACTGTTTGTATATAATTTTTTTTAACATAAAATAGGAAATGGAACTTGTATAATAAGTTGTAAAACAATTAATACATCATTTTTATTTATTTATTTATCTATTTTACATTATTTATTAACAATAAAAAGATGTAAATACAAAAAATAATATCTACTTCTAAGTTATTATATAAATCGTTGCATGTGTATTATTAATAAAAAAAATTAATGAAGGTGGGCGTTCAACTTCGAACAACTTTTTCAACAAAATAATAAAAAGGCTACATCTAGTATCCAAGAATAAATGAGGGGTTCAACAAACTCAATTAATAGTATGACTCAAGGATGAATCACATTATTCATTTAACAAACTATACAACAAGAAAAGTAAACGCCTGCCAACAACATCATATTTGCCTGCGGCATTCTCTTTAATATACACCAACGTATTACAATAACCGTCAAATTAGAAGAAAAAAATTATTTTAAAATAAGTATCATATTAACTTTTTAATATAATATTAATTAATTATATATATATTTATAATTTTAATGATATTATATAGAAAGTGATTATGTTACATAATTTTTAATAAAGGAGATTAATTATACAATTATATTTATAAGATCATTACCTTTTTTCATTTATTTATTAGTTTTCTTTGCTTTATATAAAATAACACGATCATACTTATTATGGAATGGATAAACTATTATTTCTAACACTCATTCTTATTATTATTATTAGGAATAATTTTTTTAAGGATCTCATGCATATTTTATTTAATAAACCTTCTAATTTAATAATAGAATTTACTAAAATTTGTCATTTTCAATAATAATAAATAAAATATTAGACTATGTGGCTAATATTTTTCTTCGATAATGGTTGTTTATAATTTCATGTTAACTACCCAATTTTTTTTTTGGTTGTTCGAGAGTAATATATCTTATTTTATATCCTTACATGATGTTGTAACTTGTAATAATCTGAAGTTTCATCTCTCAACTTCTGGGCCTGACTATTTACAGGTAACATATTTCAAATGTGGAGGGGTCTCATTAGGTGTTGGTATGCAACACCATGTAGCAGATGGAGCATCTGGTCTTCACTTTATCAATGCATGGTCGGATGTGGCTCGTGGTTTGGACATTTCCCTCCCTCCATTCATCGACAGGACACTACTTGGTGCCAGGGATCCACCTCGACCTGTTTTTGAACACATTGAGTACAAGCCCGCACCGGCCATGAAGACCCCCCTGCAACCTTCAAAACCAGGCTCTGACAGTGTGACTGCCTCTATTTTCAAATTGACTCGTGACCAATTGAACACGCTCAAGGGTAAGTCCAGAGAAGATGGCAACACAGTCAGCTACAGCTCTTATGAGATGTTGTCTGGTCATGTATGGAGAAGTGTGTGCAAGGCAAGAGCACTTCCTGATGACCAAGAAACCAAATTGTACATTGCAACTGATGGAAGGTCAAGGGTGCAACCTCCCCTTCCCCCAGGTTACTTTGGCAATGTGATATTCACTGCCACTCCTACAGCAGTGGCAGGTGATCTCATATCAAAACCAACATGGTATGCTGCAAGCAGAATCCACGATGCGTTGATACGAATGGACAACGAATATTTAAGATCTGCTCTTGACTATCTAGAGCTACAGCCTGATCTAAAGGCCCTTGTTCGTGGAGCACATACTTATAGGTGTCCAAATCTTGGTATCACTAGCTGGGCAAGGCTTCCGATCCATGATGCTGACTTTGGTTGGGGAAGACCCATTTTCATGGGACCTGGTGGGATTGCATACGAGGGGCTGTCTTTTGTAATTCCAAGCTCAACAAATGATGGCAGCTTGTCTCTGGCAATCGCTCTGCCACCTCAGCAGATGAAGCTGTTTCAGGAATTGTTTTATGACATTTGAAGGGTTCAGTTAAATATGCCTTAGGAACTTCTTCCCCGTTTTTAATCATGTGGCGGCCTTTTGGAATGCCACAGTGATTCTAAGCTCATCTTTTCTTTCCTTGTTTTTATTTTCATGAACCATATATCTGTGGTTACACAACACATAGTATTAGTCTATGCCTTGGCAAATTACGCGTGATAATCCTTAAACACTAATGAACTATGAAACAAGTGTTTTTTTTTATTTATTTTTTTTATTTTTATTTTATATGACATCACATTTTGACAAGATTTGTGAGTCAGCGCAAGCCGTCTCCCCTCCACCATACCATATTTGACTGCATTTGCGAATGCTTGGTGTATTTTTTTTGCTCTCTCTCTGCATTGTCATGAACAATGAAGAAATATATTATGGAGTTTAATTAGCGTCACCTAATTGCTTCTTTTCAACATTTCATTTTTGGCAAGAGTAATTTGTATTACAAACTTTGTTGGGGAAAGCTTTGTAAGCCGATAAAGCTGTAATTTTTTTTAATCAATGATTTGATTGGCATGATAGGATTAAGCAAACTTAACACATTATTACATAATGAATCTTATAGAGTGAATGAGTAAAAGATGTTTATATTCATGATTGAATATAATATAAAATACATCATAATCTTGCTCATTATTGTGTTTTCCGATACCAGAGTAGAACTCAAATATTTAACACATCTAAGCACATGTAGAAGGAACATAGAAGGATTAAAGTGAGGCCTGCAGATAGAGTTGAGATGCAGGGTAACGATGATGAGGCAGAGTTGTGCGTAGGGTGGTGATTAACATCTGCTCCCCCGTAAGCTCCTTTTCCTCTCTGTGTTCTTGAGCCATGAGATAGATCAATTTTTGTATGTGCCTCCTTTGTGATTCCGTATTTCTCTACAGTTGGAAATAAATTTAGAAAATCTATAATTGAAGGAATTATTATGTTATGATTGAAAAACTAACAACTCTTACCCACGACCACGAGGTCCTGTGTTTTCACATTGTGGCTCTTGGAGGGGTTTGCATTTGCAACTATGTGTTCTGAACTTGAAATGGCTTGAATACATGAAACAAAGACAAACCATGTAAGAACTCCTATCCCCATGGGAGTGGCTGTGGAGGGAATTTTCTCTCTACACTATTATATACTACGTCGTTTCATCTAAGGAATAATAGTTTTGTATTCTTTAACCAGTTTTAAAGAAAGAACATGTTTACTGTCAAAAAAGAAAAAAAGAAGAAGAAAGAAAATGTTGAGTGTTGACGCTTTAGTTTACTTCATTGATAAAAAAAGTAAAGGAATCTGACACGACCAAAAGAAGTAAAGAACGCACGCTGCCAGTTCTTATACATCTATGTGTAGACAGAAAAATTAATAATAAAAAGTGTAACAATTCTTTTAACATAAGATCTTCTTTTAAAGTTAAGCAAATAAAAATGAATAATTTTAAAATTTCATATAATATTATCATATTAATTCTCTTATTATCAAAGAGTTTATCTTAGTTTAGTAGAATGTGAAAGTGTTGTAAGTATTATAATCATCTTTGATATCGAGTTCAATTCTCATGAATAAAAGAAGTCTTTTATTTAGTTTTCATTGTTAACATCATATGTTTTACGTATACTAGCGTAAAAAAAAATCTAGTACGTAAAATTTATAAAATAAAAATAAAAATTATAATTTATAAAAGATTAGTTACTAGAGTAAAATTGAATAACATTGTTCACAAAAAAAAATTCAATCCTGTTTATTATAGTGTTATATATTGATTAAGCATACTGTTTTTTCATTTAATATTTTCTTTATAAAATATTATAGAATTATAAAATTGATTTAATATGAAATCAATATATGCATATAGCAATTAAATTAAAGTCAATTATTTTACTAAATTAAAAGTAATCTTTATATA